TCTGGGTGGCAGCTCTTCTCACCACTACTGCATTCAAGCAAATAGCCAGGATTTGGGTTTTTGAAGCACTCCCTGGCGCTGGCAGGTCAGCCTTGCAGTGTGGTGCCCCCCGCTCGCTGGGGCCCCTGGGCCACACCGCCTTTTTTTGCTGTGACCCCCCCCCCACCTCCAATTAATGAAAATAATCCTAAAGGGGAGGGAGGGGGAGGGGACAACATATAATACAAGAAATAACATCAAATGAAAAAGAAAGGAAATAAAATAGAAAATGAAATAAAAAAGAATAAAAGAATGAAATGAAGTGAAATGAAATGAAATGCGAATAAAGGTAAACTCAAATAAGACAATAGAAGAAGGAGAAAATGAACTGAAATACGATTTCAATCAAATCCAGTCAACATAAAAAAATGAAATTAATAGAAAAAATACTAAATAAAATGAATTAAAAATCAAATAAAAAATAAAATATCAAACCCGATAAAAATAAAAAATGAAATTAAAAGAAAAAATTTTATAAAAATAAAAATGGAATTAAAAGAATCAAAGCAAACAGAAATTAAAGAATGAAATTAAAAGAAAGAAGCAAATCAAATAAAAATTTAAAAAGGAAATTAAAAGAGACAACCTAATAATATGAAAATTAAATTAAAAGAAAAAATCAAATCAAATAAAAATTAAAAGACGAAATTAAAAGAAAAGCTCAACTCCCAATGAAATGAAATTCAGAGAAAAATTAAATCACATAAAAGTAAAAATTGATATGAAAAGAAAAAATCAAATACAAATTAAATAAAGAGAAAAAATCCAATCACATAAAATACAAATTTAAATGGAAAGAAAAATTCAAATTAAATAAAGATAGAAATTGAATTCAAAGAAAAATCAAACAAGAATAAGATAAAAAAAATGAAATGTAAAATAAAAAAGAAAAGGAGGTAGAATCAGATCTTAGAACATCCAGGCATGGGAGAAGATGCTGAAACGAGCTGAGACTCAGGGCCGCGGCCCCGTGGGAGCTGGTAGGGGCAGGGGCAGCCGCCAGGCCTGGGCGGGCGCGGGCGGGCGGCGGGTGGTGGGGCAGCCCCTGCAGGTGGCGGGGAGAAGGCAGGGAGCTGCAAGCCCAGGAAAGAGTTAAAGGGAGGGGACGTGGGCTGTCACGCGTCATTGGGCAGATTATGTGCAGCAAACAAAAAGTGTGTGTCTGTGTGCCAGGCAGTCACTGCATCGGGTCCATCTGTACAAGTCCCGCTCCCGCGCTCTCTCCGGCGCTCCCCCTCTCCCTTCCTCTGCCTCGCTCCCTCCATCCCTCCGCGCGCAGGACAGCAGCACGATCCTGCCATGGAAATACACTGATCCAGGCGGGGGGAGGGGGAGCAAGGCGAGCCGCTCATCCTTGGCCACTTTCTGCCTCCCTCGCGTTTCGGATTATTTTCTGCCCTCCTTCCTGGTGAGTACATTTGCATGAAGGGGCTGGGGGGTGGAAGGGGTCTTTTCCTCTCTCCCTCCTTAGCTAAAACAGGGAAGATGCAACCAGATCCATACAAAGGAGTCTAAGGAGAGCATCTAAAACAAGAGGGATGGAGAGGAGGGGCTGGCGGCTTGGATCGGGCGCGGACAATGCCTCGGGAGAGCCGGGCAGGGCCAGGCCGGGCTGGGCTGAGCCGGGCGGCCGCCGTGGTGTCATTGTTGCGGGCAGCGCGGCGCGCGGAGGAGCCCCTTCCCAGCATTGTTGCCTGGGATTGCATTTTAATGACCGCGTTCCCGCTGGTGCCCGATGTGCCGCTGCGACCTCCAGCACAATGAGGAGCTTGTGGGGAAGGGACTTCTTTAAAGAGAAGACATTAACTCAGACTGGAAGGGCTGGGGGATACCACTGGGAAATGAAAGGCGAGGGAGAAAGATGCATATGGGGGGAAGAATCCTATATTCTCTAGGGTTTTCCCCCCCACAGACATACACACACTCTAAAAAAAGTGTTTTTTCCTACTCTGCAAGTCGCTTGCTGGAGGCTCTCATTTTCCTCGCACAAAAATCCACCCCTCTGAAGAGGAAACTTTGCGAGGCACAGGGTGATTTAAAAAAAAAAAAAAAGACAAGTTGCACGATCGCCCTGCTCATCCATGCCAGGAGGACAAATAAGTCCTAGTAATAATATTCTTCTCCGGTCACCCGTTTTCAATGGTCAGGAGGACCCGCTCCTTCCTGCTCCTTTCAGCGCGGGCTGGGGAGGAGATGGGTGACTGCGATCTCACGGTGGCATAAAGGAGTGGTAAAGGAGGGGGACCCATTGGTAGGGTTGTGTGTGATCCATCTACCCACGGGTTTTTTTTTTTAAATCAAATAATAAACTAAATGCCACTTAAAAAAGGAGGAGAATAAATGCATCTGATATGAAATGAGGGAAAAATTCTCAGGTCTTGGAGCCTCTCGCTCTGATGCCTGTGCTGACTTTCCAGGCAGCAGGGTCAGCAGGCTTTCTTGGAGGAGCCTGATTGAAAGCTTGAAAGGGGGAGAGAGCCCTCCCAACAGAAGCGAGGCAGGGTTTTCAAGAGAAATGTCGGGCCGGAGCAAGACAGCATCCCCACAACTCCTGCCACAAATGGCATGCCTAGGCGGGGTGGGGGGGGACACTTTTTCCCCTGCGCGTCCACTACCTGCACACTTGGCAAGTCACATTTGACTGAATCTCTCTCCCCTTGTTTAACAAGGTAACTGGGATTCACCCTCATCCATAAACGAGCGTGTCGAGGTAAAAAATAATTACCTCTGCTTGCTGCTTTTAATTAAAGTCTCGGAGGGAAAGGGGTGGATTATGGTAATGAGTAGACATACGTTCCCTCTTGTAGACTGGAGCTAAAGGTTAGCTGACATGAAATCAGTGACATTGACAGTCCACTTGAAATCCATTCGCTATGCTCTTCTGTCACACTGAGCCCCGGCCCTCTCTTTAGAAGGAGGGAAGGGGAAGGCGGGGGGTGGAAATCCAGCCCTCCTTGCTCTGGAGCATCGTGGATAGCATGGGCCTCGTGTGTGTGTGTGTGTGTGTGTGTGTGTGTGTGTGTGTGTG